TTGATTTGGTCACATGTCATTTTGTGGTTATTTTCAATTAAATTTTTTCCACATGACATTTTATGGTTGTTTCATTTTTATTAAATGTATTAATTGCAAATATAAGAATAAAGGCATTTCAATTTCATTAATTGACTTTTCTTTTAATTTCAAAATTTCTAAATTAAAGTCCATTAGTAATTTAATAATTTAATATTTTTCTATTTTTTTTTATAAATTCAACTTCTCAAATATTTGTAATATTATAAATTTTTTAAATGAACCCATGTAATACATGTGTCATACACCTAGTATTCTAATACATCAATGCGTAATTAAATTTAGGTTTCTTAATACTCATTGGCATGATATTATTCTAGATATTCCAATTATTCAATATTCAATATTGTGTTGCTAATATGTCATATTATGAAATTATGCGTAATATTATGAAATTATGTTGTAATATGTAAAATTAACTTATATTGTGTAAGATTCTAACATTATATGTTGTAATATGTAAAACTGGAAACAGGAGAGGATCAGGGGTGAGATCGATAGGTTTGTCACTGATAGTCGAGGGTTATTGACCTAGTGTGGTCGGGTGTGGGTTCCAGTTTCAGGCGGGATCAGGCAGATAGTGTTGAAGGAGGCTCATAAGTCTCTCTTTTCCATACACCCGGGGGCCACCAAGATGTATCTGGATTGAAGATTGAGTTATTCCTGGTCGTGTATGAAGAGGAAGATAGCCTGGTATGTCTAGAGGTTCTTGACCTGCAGGATGGTCAAGGCCGAGCATCAGAGGCGGCATGGCAAGATGCAGCCTCTGGGGGTTCCCATGTGGAAGTGGGAACAGATCATCATGGATTTTATCACCAAGTTACTGAAGACGGCCAAGGGTTTTGATTCTATATGGGTCATCGTGGATCAATTGACCAAGAGTGCCCACTTTTTAGCCATCAAGGAGAGCTCTTCGGCCGAAAAGTTGGCCGATGTGTATGTTCGGGAGATTGTTGCTCTTCATGGGGCTCCGGTCTCTATTGTTTCAGACCAAGATGTTTAATTCACTTCCCGTTTTTAGCAGAAGTTCCACGAGGAACTGGACAGCGTGGTAGTGGTTCCGTTGGATGATATTCAAGTCGATGAGCGTCTGAACTATGTTGAGAGACCGGTGGCTATTTTGGAAAAGAAGATGAAGGTCCTATGCAACTAGGAGATACCTTTGGTAAAGGTACAGTGGCAGCATCGGAGCGGCTCCAAGTGGACCTAGGAGCCGGAGGCTGAGATGCGGGAGCATTATCCTGAGTTATTCGCAGCATCCGACTTCAAGGACGAAGTCTAGATCAAGTGGGGGAGAGTTGTAACATCCCGATGATAAGGTACTTCTAATTTTTACCCTATAATTTTATTACACTACAATTTTGACCCTAAGTAAAAGAAAGAGTGCAATGAAGGCCCTAGTGGCATTTTCGTAATTTGGGTGTTGGGGAAGTACGTCATGCTTAGGTGTGTACGCTGAGCGTACTAGGGCGCGACCTAGTACGCTAGGCATACATATGTACGCAGGGTGTACGTGTCAGGCATGCAAACCCTAATTTTTAGGGTTTTGCTCATATTTAAACCCCATTATAGCCTCATTTCCCCTCACTTCATCAGCCTCCATCCTCTTGAAATGTTTTTGCGACCCTAATCCATCTTGTGAAGCATTTCTAAGCTTGAGTGTGTATGTTTTGTGTTTTTGAAGAAGAAGGAAGGAAGGAGAGACCACCTTGGAGGAGTGAAGCTCTTTAGATCCAGGATCACACTACCTTTTGGCACCATTTGGAGGTATAAATTTCTGAACTTGGTGAAGTTTCATTTAGATCTTGTGTTAGAATGATTTTTGGTCCTTTTTGTCCCAAATGTGGAGATTCGTGAACATAGCATGTTCTTGACCCATTAAGTCATCCTTTCAGACCTTTGGAAGGGTCTTGAGTCATAAAAATGGGTTCCAAATGGTTGGTTTTGCTTCATGCATCATTTAGAAGGTCTTAATGGATTAAGAAGTTGAGTTAAGCACTTAATGGACATGCAAAGTCATAAAGTTCGAAACTTTATGACTCTTGAGGGTATTTTAGCCATGGATCTGAAAGATGGAAGTGAGAGCTTAAGCCATTAAGCTCTTAATGAGAATTTGGTAATTTGGGAGTACGCCCCGCGTACCTGGCGTACGCATCGCATATAAGGTCAACCATGCCACTGGTGGTCAACATTCGAGTACGCCCAACGTATATTTGGAGTACGCCCCACGTACTCACTCTGTGTTGACTCAGTTGGGTTGACTCGGCTGGGTTGACCCAGTTGATTTGACCAGTTTGACATTGACCTTGACCAAGTTTGACTTTAAGGGTATTTTGGGTATTTTGATTGAGATTGGTCATTTGGTTGGATAGGTGACGGTTAGAGCTGAGATTCGGAGTCGGGACCTCGTCAGCTTTTGTCCAGATTATGAGGTGAGTCTTCCTCACTGTACTTACAGTTCGAAGGCACCAAGGTCGGCCCGTTGGATTGATATCTAGCTATACATTGATATGCTGAGTATGGATTAGATCAGCATGATTATATGCTAGTTGCCGATATGCTAGTCTGGTAGATCTGTAGGACTACCTGTGATTCTATATGCATGATTATATGTATATGTTTGTTATCTGTTATATGTTGACATATTGTGTAGGGTTGAGGTTGTATTGCTTTGTGTTGTAGCCAACAAACCTTGGAGCATTCCAGATATATGAGCTGAGGGTCGGGTAGGGCATGTCAGACTCATACTAAGGGCTCAGGAGCATTCCAGATACGAGCTGAGGGTCGGGTAGGGTATGTCAGACTCGTACTGAGGGCTTGAGGGTATATCAGTCCAATGACTGATTGGGTCAGGGAGCAGGCCATACATAAGTTGCGGGGCCCGAGGGCAATCCAAACTTATGTTGTGGGCTCAGGGATAATCCAGTCTTTTAGCTGTGGACCTAGTACATGTTGTTATTGTATATGTTATTTGTTTATGTGTTGGTACTTTAGGGGAACTCACTAAGCTTTGGCTTACGGTTTTTAGTTGTGGTTTCAGACACTTCAGATAATCGCGGGAATGCGAAGGCGTGACCGTAACACATCATCTGTTTATGTACTCTTGATCTATTGGATACTCTGATATAGAAAAATATTTTGAAAAGGGCTAATGCTATAAAAACCCTCAAGTTTTTAGTATTTTGTCGGTTTTACCCAAAGTTGGATTTTATGTTCATTTATGCCTCAAACTTGCATTAATTTGTTCATTTTTACCCCATGACCGGTTTTTACCTTCAGAAGCCGGTCACCCCTTATCTGATTGGATGCACTTGCTGACTGGGATGCCAAGTCAGCGTTGCTGATTTAAGCCTTCAAGGGAAAAAGAAACGTGAATTTGGAGCTTAGGGGAATCGAACCCGGCTCTCCCACTTCAAAGGAAGGAGCTTTAACCATTAAGCTAGGAGAAGTTTTGTGGTATAACTTCTAACTTAAAATATTTCATGTGTATTTTTCTGGAATTTTTAAATAATAATAATAATAATAATAATAATAATAATTATTATTATTATTATTATTATTATTATTATTATGAACTTATACATTAAATGTGTAAATATAACTTTAAAGGTAAAAAATATTTTTTAAATGTGTAAATATATTTAAATTTAAAACGTGTGTAAACATTTAACAACGTATTTATACATTTGAAAGCGTATGTATACCTTCAAATAAATATGAAAACGTTTTTAAAATATATAAATACATATAAATACGGTTTTAAATTATTAATATGTTTTTTATACGTATAAATATGTCTTTCTATAAATACGTTTTTTATACATATGCATACATATAAAACGTCTTCCTATATTCTAACAACATATTATATGTATTTTAAAAACATATAGAAATACGTAATAAAACGATTCAATACACATATTAAAAAACATATATATATATATATATATATATATATATATATATAATATATATATAAATGAATTTGCTAAAAACGTTTTTGTACATAATGTATACATATGAATATGTATTTTAAAAACATATTTATATACGTTTTTTTACTAAAACAAAAAAAAAATGTTTGTTAAGCCATTTGTATATTTATACATTTGAAAGTGTATGTATACCTTCAAGAATAGCAAAAAAGTATATATATTTATTTCTTCTTTTTATACAAACGGCGGGAAAAACATAAATTTTTTATATGTTAGCCGGTTGCGTGTTCGAAACTCGTGCGGATTCGAAACTCGGCCTCTTCATTTTCTCTGCGTTTAGCCATTTTTTCAAAAGCCACCAACTCATCGCCTATGTGGCCTTGCCTCTGTCTAGTCAACGCTTATGTAGTCAACCGGCTAGCAACCGGAAAACGTGACAAAAAGGGTAAAACTGAAAAAGAAATTACAAGTTGGAGGCATAAATGAATATAAAATCCAACTTTAAATAAAACCGACAAAATGCTAAAAACTTGAGGGTTTTTATAGCATTAGCCATTTTGAAAACAATGATTTTGTAAACATTCTATGATTTGGGGTTGTTTTAAAAAGTTTAAATTTCTTGTTTTAAACAATAACCAAAAAGTATTTTGGTTTTCCATTTTACAAACCAATATATACCAAATGCTTAATTTACTTTTATGTTTTGTACGGTATAAGTTTTCCAATTCAATTGTATTTCATTTTCCCCTTGATTACATTTAAATTCAAATTTTGTTATTTTTTACTAATTAAATTATTTTATTAAATATCTAATAATATTGCATTTATAAAATGTTAGATATTAGTATCTAGTAATACCTTTTATTAAAATATCACGTGTTTAAAAACGATAAATAAAATAAGAGGTTTCTATATCGAAGAGGTTAATCATTGGACAAGATTCTTAGTCAATGAAAGACAATGTGACAATAATTTAAAAATTGTTAGCCACTGCAGATGATGTTATATAAATGAAAGACCAGTATATTTTGCATATGAGCTTAATCAAATGAGCTACTTATATCGATGGATTTACTATCTATACAAGCGTAGCCTAGCCTGCTATGCTAAAAAGGTAAAAATATTGAGCTAATGAGGAAATGTCTCCTCAATGGCCCTTCCTCATCTGACTTGAACCTACATATACAAAGTTATAAGTACACATGAAACAACTCCAGCCTTTTACAGCAACATAAGAATAAATTACATATCCATAAACATAAACCTACTGAATGCTCAAAATTCAGAATCCAAATTAAGAAACAAGTTGAAGGTACGATACTATAATCATGTGGATTAAAAAGTTTAAAGTACAATGCTTTCTAGTAATTCATATTTGCTATTTCTTGCAAACATTTGAGTGTACATTGTGGGACTAAAAGCACAATGCTTTCTTAAAGGCATAAGAATCGTTGGTATACTTTCTAGTCTAATTATTCACTTAATATCGTGATCTAAAGAATATGTAGTTATTATGATTATTATTATAACATTGTTTGAGTATTTATGATTTAAAAGGAAACTAACCGATATATTGTTGATCACGGAACGAATGCGAATACAAATACCTCTGTTCTAACTGCAAACAGCCAAATAATTAGCATCCTACTTTCATTTCTTTTTATCAAGGCATTGCAATCTCAAGAATAAGCAAGGCATATTTCTTTCAATATAATTGCTAACACCAAGTTCTAAAATTTACACTTTACCTTATGGTATCAAAAATGAATTTTAGTGAAAAAAAAAATGTTCCAACCACCAACCAACCTATACCCGTTAAGAAGAGGATTCCGCTTCCGCTTCCGCTTCTGTTTCTGGTTCTCCCGTGGATTCTCTCCTGGGAAGCGCGTCGTAGTCTACAAAATCAGGGTATCTGATCTTCATCTCCTCCTTAGGCTCCCAAGTCCGCCTTCTCCCATGAGTATGCTTCCATTTCACAAGCACAAGTTCAACATCTTTGTTCCCAAACTTTTTTGTCCTTGCTTCTAGAACACTTTCCGGGTCTTCATATATTTTGTTGGAGGATTCCACTTTCAAGTCCGATACTGGGATCACCCCACACTCTTTCCCATCGTACTTTTTCAAAAAACTTACATGAAACGTGTCGTGTATTCCTTTCAGTTCCTCCGGTAAATCCAGTTTACAGAATTGAGATCCCACGGTTTTCAACACTTTGAATGGTCCGATGTGGTTAGGAGACAATTTGGCTCCGGTTCGAAATCTCATTACACCTTTCAGAGGCGACACCTTTAACATCACCAGATCATCCACTTTTAAATCGTAGGGTATTTGTTGCTTTTCTTCCGTTGCTTTCTTTCTCCTTCTCCTTTTCTTCTTTGCTTTTGCTAGTTTGCGAGCTAACAAAGACTTGTTTTTCCTCTTCTTGTTACCGGAGATTACATCATTGCCATAAATTTGGGGTGTTTTGTTTTTGTTCCTGTTTTTGACATTCTCTTTCAATCTTAAAAGCCTCATCTTTCTAGCAAGTGCTGCTGGGTTAATGGGGGTTAGATCAATATCCACATCCACATTGGGTGTTGGATCATCATTAGGGAGAGAGGAGGAGGAGTTGTTCTTGTCCTTGTTTTTCTGTTTCAACCTCATAAGCCGAAACCTTCTAGCAAGTGCTGCTGCATTCACATTGGGTCTTGCATGATTAAGTAAAGGGAAAGAGGAGGAAGTGTTGTTGTTGTTGTCCTTGTTTTTCTGTTTCAACTTCATAAGCTGATACCTTCTAGCACGTGCAGCTGCTGCTCTTCTGGGATTTGGATCATTATGGAAAAAGTAGGAGATGTTGTTGTTGTTGTTGTTGTTGTCGTCCTTGTTTTTCTCTTTCAACTTCATAATCCGATACCTTCTGGCATCTGCTGCTGCTGCTCTTCTGAGGATTGGATCATGAGACCAAATGTGGTTGTCATGAGTTTTGCCAGGTGGATCCAACTGATAGGAGGAACTCACTCCCACCACATTCCCTTTGTTGGGATCTGCCATAGACTTTTCACAATGCTGCTGTGATGATGATGGTGCTGCTGGTGTTGCTGGTGGAGGTGATGATGGTGCTGCTGCTGGTGGAGGTGATGATGGTGGTGGTGGTGGTGGAGGTGGTGGTGGTGGTGTTGTTGCTGGTGGAGGTGATGATGGTGGTGGTGGTGGGACTGGGGGTAATGATGGTGGTGGTGTTGGGTGTGGGGGTAAAGACTTTGCAGGTGGTGGTGCTGGTGCTGGTGCTGGGTGTGGGGGTAAAGATTTTGATGTTGATGGTGGTGGTGGTGGTGGAGGGCCGTGGTGGGGTAAAAATTTCAACATGGTAATTCTCCTACTGGTGCGAGTGAACACTTTTCCTTTTTTGGGTTCTACCATAGATTTTTGACAGTGCTGCTGTGATGGTGGTGGTGGTGGTGGAGGATAGGGCGGCTTGGGAATAATTCTCCTATATCTTTGTTTGGGTTGTACCATAGATTTTTGACAGTGCTGCTGTGATGGCTGTAGTGATGGTTGTAGTGGTGGTTGTGGTGACAATGATGGTGGCGGTGGTGGGGGTAAAGATTTTGATGGTGGTGGTGGAGGGCTGTTGTGGTGGGGTAAAAATTGCAACATGGTAAGTCTCCTACTTGTGCTAGTGAACACTTTTCCTTTTTTGGGTTCTACCATAGATTTTTGACAGTGCTGCTGTGATGGCTGTAGTGATGGCTGTAATGATGGTTGTAGTGGTGGTTGTGGTGACAATGATGGTGGCAGTGGTGGGGGTAAAGATTTTGATGGTGGGGGTGGAAGTGAAGGTGGGAGTGGGAATAAAAATGTTGATGGCAGCGGCTGTGGTGGTGGTGGGGGTAAAGATTTTGATGGTGGTGATGGGGGTGGGAGTGGGGGTAAAGATGTTGATGGCGGCAGTGGTGGTGGTGGGAGTGGGGGTAAAGATTTTGATGGTGGTGATGGGGGTGGGAGTGGGGGTAAAGATGTTGATAGTTGTGATGGGGGTAAAGATGTTGATGGCGGCGGTGGTGGTGGTGGGGGTGGGAGTAAAGATGTTGATAGCGGCGGTGGTGGTGGGAGTGGGGGTAAAGATGTTGATGGCGGCGGTGGTGGGAGTGGGGGTAAAGATGTTGATGGCGGCGGTGGTGGGGGTGGGGGTGGGAGTAAAGATATTGATGGCGGCGGTGGTGGTGGTGGTGGTGATGATGATGATGGTGGTGTTGGGTGTGGGGGTAAAGATTTTGATGGTAGTGTTGGGTGTTGGGGTAAAGATGTTGATGGTGGTGGTAGGGGTGGGGTGGGATAAAGAAGACGGTGTGGCGGTGGTGGTGGTGGTGGTGTTGGGTGTGTGGGTAAAGATTTTGATGGTGGTGTTGGGTGTGGGGGTAAAGATGTTGATGGAGGTGGGGAAGGCCTTATAATTCTGTTACTGGAGCCTTTGTTGGGATGCAGCATAGATTGTTTACGATTCTTCTTTTCTGGTTCTAGCCATGGCAGTGGCACTATTGTTGGTGGTTGTGGTGGTGGAGAGGCAGGCCTTGTAATTTTGTTTTTGGAGCGAGTCAGTTGCACCACTTTGCCTTTGCCTTTGCCTTTGTTGGGATGCAGCACAGATTGTTTACGATTCTTCTTTTCTGGTAGTAGCCATGGCAGTGGCACTAGTGTTGGTGGTTGTGGTGGTGGAGGGGCAGGCCTTGTAATTTTGTTAGTCAGTTGCACCACTTCGCCTTTGCCTTTATTGGGATGCAGCATAGATTGTTTACGATTCTTCTGTACTGGCGGTGGCAGTGGTGTTGGTGGTGGTGGAGGGGCAGACCAAGGCCTCGCCTCTACCGGGGCGTACCAGGTTGGGATGTACCATAAATAGTTGGGCTGTACCATAAATTGTGGTGGTGGTGGTGGTGGCGGCCGTGGAGGGGCAGAGCTGGTATTTCTGTTACACGCGCAAGTCGGCGCCTCCACTTTGTCATTGTTGGGATCTACTGGTGGTGGTGGTGGTGGTGGTGGAGGGGCAAACTTGAATCTTTTCCGATGATATTGTAGTTGATAACGATTTGGTTTTACAGAATTAATGTTGCCAGCTGGATCACCAACACCACCACTGTTACTGGAATGAGTCACTGCCACCGCTTTGCCATTGTTGGGATCTAGTGTAGAGTGTTGACAAGGCTGCTGTAATTGTTGTTGTGGTGGTGGTGGTGGAGGGGCAGAGTTGGTAATTTGTTGATGATTGCGATTGACTTTTACAAAATGAATCTTGCCACGTGGATCAACCATATTCACAAAACTAGATCTACCATTACCACCAAGGTTACTGATACTGGACTGTGTCACCGCCACCATTTTGCTTTTCTTGGAACCTGCCACGGATGATGATGGTGGTGATGGTGGTGGTGGTGGTGGTGGTGGAGGGGCAGGCCTGGTAATATGTTGTTGATCACGAGTTTTTACATAGTGAACATGGACAAGTGGATCAACCACATTAGCAGAACCAGATCTACCAACAATGTTACCATTATTGGAGCAAGTGATTGCCACCACTTTGCCATTGTTGGGATTTACCCAAAACTTTTGAAAATGCTGTTGTGATTGTTGTTGTTGTTGTGGTGGTGGTGGTGGTGGTGGTGGTGGACGTGGTGGTCGTGTAGATGGTGGTGGTGGCCGTGGTGGTCGTCGGGGTGGGGGTGGTGGTGGTGGTGGAAGGACCTCTTGTCTTTTTGCTTTCGCCTTAAGTACTTTTGCTTTCAACTCCTGTTTTTTTGCTGGTGGGGGTGGTGGTGGAGGGGGTGGTGGTGGTGGTGGAGGGGCATCCATCTTTCTCTTTTCTATCTGCAATTAATTAAAGAGATTTTGATTAAATAATTCAATAAGAATCAGAACAAATTGGATTTGATCAAATAAATTGAATATTACCTCTTGTCTTTTTGCTTTCACTTCAAGTATTTTTTGCATCCAACCCCAGACTTTGACCTCGTTTTTTTGGTTTCAACTCCAGTCCTTTTGCTGCTGCTGCTGCTGCTGGTGGTGGTGGTGGGGGTGGTGGTGGTGGTGGTGGAGGTGGAGGTGGAGGTGGAGGGGCATCCATTTTTCTCTTTTCTATCTGTAATTAATTAAAGAAATTTTAATTAAATAATTCAATAAAAATTAGAGCAAATAAATTGAAGATTACCTCTTGTCTTTTTGCTTTCACCTCCAATATTTTTGCATCTAACCCCAAATTTTGACCTCGTTTGTTTGCTTTCAACTCTAGTCTTTTTGCTGGTGGAGATGGTGGTGGGGGTGGGGGTGGGGGTGGTGGTGGTGGTGGAGGGGCATCCATTTTTCTCTTCTCTATCTGCAAATAATTAAAGAAATTTTAATTAAATATTTCAATAAAGATCAGAACAAATAAATATTACCTCTTGTCTTTTAGATTTCACCTCCAGTATTTTTGCATCCAATCCCAGATTTTGAGCTCGTTTTTTTTGCTTTCAAGTCCACTCTTTTTGCTGGTGGTGGTGGTGGTGGTGGTGCTCGTTTTTTTGCTTTCAAGTCCACTCTTTTTGCTGGTGAGGATGGTGGTGGTGGTGGTGGTGGTGGTGGTGGTGGAGGTGGAGGGGCATCCATTTTTCTCTTTTCTATCTGCAATTAGTTAAAGATATGTTCATTAAATAATACAATAACAATAAGAACATATAAATTGAAGATTACCTCTTGTCTTTTTGCTTTCACTTCCAGTATTTTTGCATCCAACCCCAGACTTTGACCTCGTTTTTTTGCTTTCAACTCCCGTCTTTTTGCTGGTGGGGATGGTGGTGGGGGTGGTGGTGGAGGGGCATCCATTTTTCTCTTTTCTATCTGCAATTAATTATAGATATTTAATAATTCAATAAGAATCAAAACAAATGGGATTTGATCAAATTAATTGAAGATTACCTTTTGTCTTTTTGCTTTCATCTCCAGTATTTTTGCATCCAACCCCAGATTTTTAGCTGGTTTTTTTGCTTTCAACTCCAGTCTTTTTGCTTCTAACTGCAGATTTTGAGCTCTACGTTTTTCATGTAGGGTATCCGTGGCTCTTATTTTCTGACGTTTCATCGTTCTTATTTTTCTGCTATCCATGGCTTCTATTTTCTATTTAATCAATTCATTAAATCAGATTTAGGGGAAAAGGATTTTAAGAAGAAAGTCAAATTCAAAGTTATGAGATTATTTCATACCCTCCTTGCCATGATTTCTTTTTGCATTTCATTGTATCTCTGAATCAAATCATCTGTTGCCTGTATATATATGAATAAAGTTTAAAGAAGGGGAATTAAGTGAATCTAGGGTAAAAAAATGAGAAAGATCATAAAAATCGATAATGATTTGGATGTTAGGTTTTCAATCGAACACAATCCCCAATTTTCAATGTTATCGTTGAAGACTTGTATGAATTACAGCATTTCGATCACAACAACTAAGAAATAAGAAAAGAACTTGAAAAAACCTATGATAATCAGTAAGAACCCTAACAAAGTCATCGAATTATTTATGGAAATTGAAGTAAATATCACAACATGTACCTTTCTCTTTGATAATTTCTTCGAAGATGACTGTTGTTTAGGGCTCTCAGCAGCACCGTCGTTTCCGGTACCACTGCGTAATAAACAAAGCGTCGTTGAAGGCCCTTCATCATCATCTTCCGCCGCCCTTACTTCCTCCGGTGACGCTTTCGATGTCGAAGCCAACACAGATCTTTTCTTCTTCCGGTCCCAGGTAAAAGTGGATTTATTTATCAACTCCGATTGCTCAACTACATCCGGTAGATTGATCAAAATATCCGCAATTTCACCCTCATCTTCCTTCGCAATTCTACTCCTACCACCACCGCCTCTGCCACCCTTTCTACGCCGTTTCATATCCGCTTTACAGCAAGTGCATCAATTCCGTTAATCAGAGAAGATGATGGAACTATGAAGATCAAAGTGTATTAGATACGAGATTTTGAAAGGAAGATGGGTGAACGAAGGAGATGAGAGAGAGATGAGTTGTCGTTGATAGAAAAATAAGGGAAAATAAAATGTGGGTAAAGAAAAAAAAAATGGAAGAATTGGAGAAAGACTAGCTATGCCACGTGTCAGTATACGGCGCACTTTAGGGTTTATATACGAGTATGACTTATATTGATAACTTTTACAAGTCACTAATAGTAATTTTTATATTTATTAACTTTGATTTGATTTTGATTTCCAGGTTTCATTCAAAAAAAAATTATTATGAACTCTTTATTCTTCGTGATATTGACCACGTGTCAAATTCCTGTAGCAAGAGCCTTTTTTTTCAACCGTTGGATTTCTTCTAGATCGGACGCTCCACAGGTTACACGCGTTATTCTCTTGTTTCCCCTATTCTTCCACATGTCTCCTGCTCCTTGAAGTATACATCTTATATTTCTTCTTCATAGTTTATAGAAATCGATTACATAGTGGGATTTTAGGGTTTAAAAGTTTTTGAAACCTTAATGCCCTAATTATTTCTTCTACCCAATTACGCTATTCAAAATTATTTGTTAAAACGGGACAAGTATAATTTGCCCTTTTGCATTGGTTTTAGAAATTGTATCAAATTCATACACCAAATACAACTCCAACTAAAAACAATTGTCACTACAATACAAGGTCCAGAATTTAACCAAAATACTAAAAATCCCAAAATCAAGCCACTTTTGGTTTCTTGATCTTTCTACTTATAACAAAATCATCATCAGATTCATTATCACTGTCTTCCAAAATCTTTATTTTCTTTGGTTGCACAGATGAATTAGATGAATCGGTTTTTTTCTTCTTTTCAGTTGAAATAGTCTTTTTCTTAATCGATACAGACGAAACACTTTTCTTCTTAACAGTGACTACTGTTGTCATTGGTGCCCCAAGTTTTAGCTGTTGAGCTTTCTTCTGTTTCTTCTCAAATAACTTCTTGGCCACATCTTTTGGCAGCAACCCAGTTTCCATCATCCTACAAATGCATTTGGTTACATGTTTTTTACTTTTTGCCAAATACCCAAAATACCCTTTAGGGGATTAAGCCCAATACTTACCAAAATGCAGCCATTTCGCTAGTAGGTATTTGTTCGTACAAGCTTTCATAGAAAATTCTTAATGGATCTCTCTAAATAAATTCATAACAAAAAATTTTCATTAATTTCATAAAATAACAAGGGCATTTACGTCTTTTTCACGGACAAGAGGTTGAGAGTGAGTCAATGTCTCACTTTTTTGTATAGGACAAAAAGTTGCACTTTTTTGTCTCGTTGACATAGTCATAGACTCTGTGTGGGACAAACACGGTACAATTTGTTCTGTCTGTCTTGTCCTGTATACGCAAATGATTGTAAAAAAGTTTTGTATACCTCTTCGGGTGGGTCCCGCTTTTGACCAGGCATTTCATACACCTTCTTTTCCTTCTTCTTAACATCTTCTCCTTTACCACTCTTTCTCTTTTCTTCTTTCTTCTTCCCATTTTTCTCACTTGAATTTACCACTTTTTTCTTAATTCATTATAAGCAAAATTAATCATTTAAAGAATATAAATATTATGCAAAACAATACAATGCTTGAAGCAATTGGTGGCTATAAATTTGTGTCCATTGAATATCAATTTGTGAATTAACATTATGGTCTTCATAAACTATCAAGAAACTAGTGATTACAGCTAATAGGACTGTTTTTTACAAAAGTTGAACGATATGATATATCAGTTTATATGTTTTGATGTCTAATCCCACTTCAAAAATACAAAATGTGCTAAATTTTACAAAAAAGTTTAAGAATTTATACCACATACCTTATCAGAATTTCCAGTTTTTTCCTTCTTGACCTCACTGATTGGTGTCTTCTTCTGCGTCAAAATACGAAATTTCAAAAACAAAAATTCCACAAGAAAAACAACACCCATATAGAATATCAAGAAAAATAGTTTAAATTAAAATGTATCACAAACCGTATTAGCATTTCCAGCTTCCTCCTTCTTCACCTTGTTGATGGGTGTCTTCTTCTGTATGAGAAATCGAAACATTAAGCAACCATAAACAAGGAAAACCCTACAAAAGAAAGTTGAAAAAAGAAAAGGATAAATGCATCGTCAACCGTTTCAGCACTTCCGGTTACTTCTTTCTTGGGTTTATCATTGTTGGGTGTTTTCTTCTTGGGCGTGAAATCGTCATCAGATTGTTCTTCTTTCTTCACTTTCGATTCTGATTTCTTTAACTTGGCATCCTTGAGAGAAAGCGATTTGGTGGAGTTAGGTTTTTTGGGCTTGTTTTTAAGGATTGAGCTGAGGGATTTCTCGTCATTGTCATCGTCGTCTACTTCATTCTTTAGAGAAAGTGATTTGGCGCTGCCGTTGGGTTTTTTGTTCTTGTTTTTAAGGAGTAGACTGAGGGATTTTTCGTCGTTTTCATCGTCGTCTACTTCACTCTTGACAGGTTTTGCATCTTCAGAAGACATTTCTGTTCTTGGGAATGTGTTTGGGAATACAGAATTGAGAGGAAGGCCGAGGGTTTTGGGGGGGATTTGGGAAGCAGAAAGATGAAATTTTTGGGAAGAAAAGGGGGAAAACTGAAAAGGATGAGATACGTTGCAATTTGGAATATGGGCTAAAAATGTTCTAATAGTACATGGCCCAATTAGTAGTTGCGTAAGCCATAATGTCTACTTATGGGCTTATGGCTAGTTTATGGCTAGTGTAGTTTCCATCTTTAACCAAATGACAAAAATAAACCAACCAAATTCATTGTCCTTATAAATTAGATTCACGATTAAAAGATACACATTTTCCAGCAAGGAACTAGGGTATAGAACAATTTTATTTATTTATTATTTTCTTGATCAATAAGATAATTTGAAACAATAATTGTATAGAGATATATGTACAAGTATATTAAAAGGGATGAGTGAAGCAACTTGATGGCTCATCAACTCATGGCTGACAGTTGATCCCACATTAATGGAGTGAAGCAACATAGCAACATGGGTTTACGAACAAAATGGGAGCTAAGGAAGCAAAGAGATGAATCTGTTTTAGGGTGTCGCTTGTAGACCGACATGAGTCTAACTCGGAAATGCTTTCGGGCTGGATTGAGATCGACAATTTGCTAAAAATGGTGATTGCACTTGGGTTGGTGATCTAGACTAAAGTTGGACTTTAGTTTGGTCCTTAGACTTTTTTGGGAATAAGACCAGTTTATTTGTCCGGGTCTATTCCATATACATATTTGGTCATTTAATTTGTTTTTGGTGCACGATTAACTTGTTTTAGAATAATTCAATGTTACCGATTATTTTAAAACTAACATCTTTGGTGACATCTCTGTCGAGTCTAGTAATACTTAATAATTTTATTTAGATATTATGTATACTTATTTTTCATCTAAAACATAAGGTTTATCTACTTTATAAATTCTTGTCCAAAATGTTGTTTTCGTAAATACTATTTCTCTGGAATTGATCTGCTAAAATCTTGCTTCTTGTTCATAAAAAAGGAAAAATCTTTGTTGAGAAACAAGATGCAAAACTTATGTCTCAAGATACATGATGTATGTTATCATGTTATAATTGACTTTAAAAAATCTCATGAAACAATGAGGAATATGAAAACAACTCAATGTACATATGCATAACAAGACGAATGACATCTTATAAATCACATGTTCAAGTTGAACTTGTCATTGTGTTCCTTGATCACCCATATATGCAAATAAACATATAAGTATTTCTGATGCAAGAGAACTTTAAGATGACCACAAACTCATCAAAGTTGTTAAGGTTAACGAGAATGTCACTAGAGTGCAAACAAGACCTAAAAAATGGTTAGGCCTAAGTCATATTTATCATCTTTTTTTTTCAAAATCCATTCCTAAGCCTAGTGGTTTAAGTTTATGCAATACTCTAAATATCTAGTTCATTTAAACCAAAGCTTTAGTACCAATTGAAACACTACTCGTATAAGCAATTTTAAAATATATTTAAAAATGTAATAAATCATTTAAAAAACATTTTTGAAGATAAGGTACCAAACATTTAAGTCTTTAACAATTTAGGTGGTGTTTGGGATTTCATTTAAAAACAACTTATTAACTTATTGGTTTTTTTAAAAATCAATAAGTTAAAAAAAATGTTTGACAATGTAATAAGGACTTTTAAAATAACTGCACATAAACCTTTCAAAAAAGAGATTCTAATAAGTTAGGATTTCTAACTTTTCAAAACTCCTTATAACTTTTTGGGTTATAAAAGTCATATTCTCCTTAAAACATGTATAAACTAAGACAAACACTTTTTAACTTATTGAATTATTCATTTTCTCACGACAGAGCTAATTCAAACACTTTTTAAAAAACTCATTTCCTTACCACCATAATTCAATAAGTCTTTTTTTCCTAAAATTCATTTTAAGGTTCAAAATTAAATCAGAATAACAAAATATACGAGGGTGTAACAAAGTAATCAATCGATAAAGATAAATTAAACGTTATCTTGTACATCAAAATAAAATGTCTTCTAGATTTCATTATTCTCTTCGACCTTTAATATTTAACTACAACTCCTAATATGAACTCATGTAAAAATAATATGTTAGAATTGGAAACTTAATGAACGTTATTGGAGTTATAGATGTTTAGTAAGTCCGCATAGAATGGAAAACCCCGTGAAAACTTATAAAGTTTAATGAACATTCAATATATGGGGAAAAACATTACAAGTATTAATAATTTGTTATAATTATTAATAAATCTCAATAAACACCAAAACAAAAAAGTATAGACAATTGAAATGCATGATATGGATCTAAAACATAAAAATCCAACTTATATCAATTCCAAAAACATCTTACAATTGATAGCTAAATAGAGCTCGTGTAAATATAACATAAAGCACATGAAACACTCCTCATGCTCAATTCAAACTATGTATCAGTAAGCCATCACACATGTACCATACATGATGTTGCAAATCCCATGTGTAAGTGTTGTCGTATAGAATGATGTCATAAACATCTCAATTTTCTCTATACAAGTCATCTCAAGTGGCCACACAAAGTCTCAATCCCATCCTATAATGAATGCACATTATTATTATTATCAAATGTAAATTAAACAATAAATTTTGTCCTCATTTCACAACTCTTTTGTAAAAACATTTTATGAATGTAACATATTAACACATAACACAATGAAATTGTTTTTAAGTATAATAGTATAATAGGGGACATGTGTGCATATCTAAGGAATTCACCTTAAGCGTGTGAACTATTATCCAACTAAGTTTTTGAAGGATTGTAAAATAACTACTACTTCATAACAAACCAAGTACCATTAGTACTAAACATAAAATCAAAGTATCAAACAAAACATCCAAAGTTAGTACTGTAATGTCATATAAAATTTTGCAAAGACCTTATAACTAGATCCACAATGCCTTACAAACTGATCTGCAAGGCCTTACAAACCTACAGTTAATGACACCTATTGGCTATATGATGACAATTTAGAAACTTTAAACACTTAATTATCATGATTTGAATTAAAATGGCTAAATGGTTATGTTATGCACAGTGGCGGACCGCTTCAAAAAAAATCATGTTGAAAATAATGAAATTGATCTTAGTACACTAGAACAAGATACTGGTTTGCGTAAGCAAATTTATGATTATCCAGTAAATTAACGAGATACTATTATACGAGCATATATTAACCATGATCCCTTTCAACAAAAACTTTTTGTATATCCAAAATCTGGTCCAGAAACCCATAAACGCAGTGGCGAATCTAGAACCAAAAACCACGTGGTTCCTTATATAAGTGAAACCAAAAAAATGCGAGAATAAATAATACTAGTGGCAGGCTGGCGTCTGGCAAAGCGGCGGCGATTACGATGGTCGGACGACGAATGACACAGGGCGAAACTGGTGGCCGGGTGGGAGTGATTATCAGGGTAACATTGTATGATGCTTCAGAGATGTTGATCACACCTCAGCCCAAGCGACGTTTCACATTTCAAGCATTTTTGTTATTTTTTTTCTTTTTTTTTTGTTTAATCTTAAATGGACTAGGCTATTGCCTAATGATTAAATTTTAAGCGGATTGAGTCATTGAATTATTTTAAATGGATTGAAATATAAACTTTAGGTTTCATACATTTTGTTCCATTTTTCTTTTGGCAAAGTTTATAAGGCAGGTCCTTAAAAATTTATAAGGTAGTTCCTAATTTTTTTCATACATAACTTATACTAAGTTTTAAAAAAATAGGTGGGTCCTAGGACCCACCCTCAATATAACTAGATACGCCCATGCATAAACGTAGTTTTCAAGCTTCTTGGTTTAAGTTATATCCGTGGCTTGGATATTCAGAGATCTTTGATGTTGCATTTTGTTTTCCATGTTTTATATTCAACAAGTCTTCTGGAATTGGACACTACGGCCAACGAGCATTTACTATAGATGGATTTCAGAACCGGAAGAAAGTTGGTGGAAAAAGTTGTGCCTTTTTGCATCACATAGGGACTGATTGCACATCTTTTCACAATGTTGCACAAAAATCATGTGATGATTTGTTAAATGAGGCGCATGATATACGAAATGTGTTTGAGACATTTACAGAATAAGAGCATAAAAACAATAGAATGAGATTGAAGGCTACTATTTATACAATCCGTTTGTGTGCCTTTCAAGGAATTGCATATAGAGGTCACGATGAAGGATCAGATTCCATAAACAAAGGAAATTTCCGTGAAATCTTGAAGGCAATTGGCGATTTTAACACAGAGATGAAAGAATTGTTCCGTACTGCTCCTAAACATGCATTATATACATCACCGTCAATTCAAAAAGAGATTCTAAACCTTATATCAACTAGGGTGAGGAGGATGATTTGTGAGGAGATTAATGGTGGAAATTTTTGTTTAGTTGTTGATGAAGCACGTGACCAGTCTAATAAAGAATAAATGTCAATTGTTTTGAGAGTTTTAAATAAAGATGACTTTATTATGGAGCGTTTCTTTGGGCTTGTTCATGTACCTGACACTACATCGCAAACTCTTAAGAATGCAATTTATTCTATATTGTCACATAATAATCTTGATCTTAAGTCAATCTGTGGTCAAGGGTATGATGGCGCAAGCAATATACGGGGTCATTTCAAGGGTTTTGCAAGCATTGATTTCAAATGATTGTCCATATGTGTATTATGTTCATTGTTTTGCCCATCGATTACAATTAGCATTAATGGTTGCGTCATAAGGAGTTGTTGCATTACAAAAGTTTTTTACTCGATTATCTTTTGTTATCAATGTTGTTGGCGCTTCCTCCAAGCGTACCGACCAACTTAGAAATGCACAAGCTGATGAAATTGCATATAAGATTTCTATTGACGAGTTAGAGACAAGTAGAGGGCTTAATCAAATTGGTACATTACAACGAGCTGGTGATACTCGATGGAGTTCTCACCTCAAATCAGTTTCGAGCTTAATCAAAATGTTTAGTCCAACTTGTGAGTTTTTACTTAAAAATTATTAAGGATGACACTGGTCCAATCAAAG